AGTCTTTCACTAATGTTCCCATGTTCTAAGCACATTCCTGGCACAGAGAAAATGCTTCGACTCATTTGTTAGGTGATTATTAAAGTTTGACTTGAGAGGCTAAGGAAACAATAAAACAGATGGTTTTCTTGGGCAATCAAAGTGGTGAGGCAGGGAGATGTGATCCAGGGTTCAAAGTGATAAAGCCATGTTATAGGATCCCTACTAGAGAGCTCATAAACCTCTTGTGGCAATGGTGTCTTCATCACTTACCTGGAAAAAGCTTTTCCAAAATGAGAACCAGAAGACACCAAGAAAATGTAAACAAGCCTGCTTGACGCATTAATCAGACTTACAACTTATAAATATTCAGAAGTTGGCTCTGCAGATAATATGCCAAAAACAAATCACTTAGCATTTGATGCTTGCATCATCCTTTCTTGTGCCCAAAACAATGAAGCAGTGACATTTAGGAGAATGGGAGGAAAAGATTTTAGGGAACCGGGATTATTCTGTATGTAACTTTCTGTCTGCTCCCCTTTACCCTGGTTGAACGCTGAAGTTTGAATTGCCACTGATGATCAGCTACGTGAGCTAAGAGCTAAGAGCTTCATCTCTCTGGGCCTATGTCTACTCACTTGCGAAATTGTGATGTTTTGGGTACCTACATCATAGTTCTGTTGAAAGGAGGAAATGAATTATAATATGCAAAACCTCAGAATGTGATAATTATTCTATACCTCTTAGCTAGAGGAAGGAAGGTATAGTGGCTAAGAGAATGGACTTTGTAGGTGGTGGACTTCAGTACTGGTTCCACCACTTACTAGCAGGTTCCTTTGCCCTCTTGTATCCTGCTTCCCCATCTGTAATGTAGAGGTGTTATTTGTACCTCAGTCACAGGTTTTTTGTAAGAACTAAATGAGTATGAACCAATCAGAACAGTGCCTGGCACATAGTATACATCGTGTTAACCTGTAGTTATGATTGCAACCACCCCTTATCCATATATCTTGCTCTGAAGCTGTCTGGCTACATCCAGTCTCTTCAGAGACCTCTCATTTTCCGTCTGTAGTTAGTACACTGAATGTTTTCTACTACATTCACAGAGACACTAGATGGGGTTGCTGAGCTAAAGCACTAAAGAACTGCTGGGCAGCCCAATTAGAATTTTGAGCTGGATGGAACTTTAGGGAGGATCTAGTCCACACTTTTCATTTGTAGATGAAGAGGAGTCATCTGATGTAATCCGTCTGGAATGGGCTCAGCAATCACCTTCCCATTTCTAGGAAACACAGTCCTCACTCTTGTTTGGAAATGATTGAATGATGAAGCTGGGTGTGCCTGCAAGTATTGCTTAGTAAATTTCCCTAGAATCGTTTATTTGATCAAACTCAAATGGTCCTATAAGCCTCTGGGGGCAGGAGCAAGCTGCCATTATTCAATGAGTTCTCTGTCTTCCATCCCTGGCTTTCAGTAGATATTCACTTAATATTTGTTGAGTTAATGATAGAGGTTTTTGTAAAAACTCTGATGATTGCAAATCTTCCCACTGCTGTATGAAGGGAATTATTTTAACATACACTCATTCTCTTTGTGTGTATTCAGTCCTTTTCTTTGTGTAGCTTCCCTGAAGACATGAGAACTGGAAGAAACTTTGGAAAAATCTTCCAGTCAAAATGCCTCATTTTGCCAATGGGAATATTCAGGGATGTGGTTTGTCCACACTCACCCAACTAGCTAGTGGCAGAAATAAGGTTAGATCTTCCCTACCTCATCATCTTACTTTAAAAAAATTTTTTTTCACTACTCAAGATACTGTCAGGCTTTTTCCACATGTACTTTAACTGTTTACTAACCTTTCCTCCAGGTCACATTCTCCAGATTATTATTATTATCATCATCATCATCATCATCATCATCATCATCATCATCATTATTTTCATCATCATTATTATTTGGAACCAAGGATTGAACTCAGGGTCTTGTGCTTGCAAGGCAGACAACAGCACCACTGAGCTAAATCCCCAGATTTCTAGCTTATTATTAATATTTACAGACTACCTCTGAGAGAGGGCTTACCTTCTTTTCTTCATGTCCTTCCTTTTCGCAGTGTCAGTTCGCATAACTAACCTACCCTGTCATTGCCAGCCACCCATCTACCTTTCTACCTCCTGCATCTTAATTCCTCGATTTGAGGGGAAAAAAAGTAGGTCTTGTCTCCCACCAGAACCAGCAGGGTAGTCCTAGGGCTCCAAACAACCAGAGGACAGGCCAGAAACTCAAGTATTTAAACCTCATCTTGCATAACCTTTGCCAATAACCCCTTGGCCAGAGAAAGGTCATGGCCAAGCCAGAGACAAGATATGAAGGAAGTTTTTAACCTCTTCATGGGCGTGAAAGAATTTTGGCCCTTTTTAGTTTCTACTGGATAGTAAGTTTTAATAAAGACATAAGCCAATAGGTCCATGGAAGTGTAGAGAAAGGTTGAGGTATCAAAAACACCATCCTTGCCTGTAGAAACTCTATCTTCTGCCATTTAAAGATGGCAATCCCTCTTTAAAAGTCAGTGTGAGTCGATAAGACATTTAAAACCTGAGTCTCTCTCCCCCAGGTTTTAGAATCTCTTGGGGAAAGGTTCTCCCTCTCACTAGGCATGCCACAGTCTCAGATCCAACCTGCTCTCCCCCGTGGATGCAATAGCTTTCTTGTATTCCGCATACAGAATTTTTCTGGCCTAAATTTCCTCTTTTTAAGAAAAATATGCCAATACTTTTCTCCTTACTGACATTTTTATTATCCCTTAGCACATGCATGCTTTGGGAAATCCTACATTTTGTCATTTCTTTATCTCTGGTATCGCTTTAGTTCTTTAAACCACCACTCTGGGTCCCCAAACTGGACGTCTTCACAAGTTACTTCCAGGCCCTCATCTCCTAGTTTCATCCGTTTGTACCAAAATGAACATTTTATTCCTCATTCATTCAATAAACTAAGAACTGAGCATTATAGAATCAGACCCTGCCCTCAAAGATCCTGACAGCATATCTATAAATCCTTAAAGTGAATTTCAATCATATTTCAGTTAGAATATGACTCCCAGGGGAGAAGAGGTTGAGATGATGACCTTGAGGTGGATAACAATGACCTAATGGGCTTATTCCAAATGGCCCTGTTGTGAACTGTATCACACCTTAGGATGGATACACCTGCACATGTACCTGAAGGGTCACACAAAACTCTATAGCTCTACCTCTTATTTCTGAAAATGGTAAACCATGGTGTAGCCAGTGTGATGTTGCTGCAGAATCCTTATGACAATGTGTGGGTTCAATTTGCTGATGACGCATCCAGTCCAGTCCTTGTGTCTATAAATCAATGGGGGAAACCAAACTGTACATCTTTTATTCTGCCTCACTCTCTGCTGTTGGAATCATCTTCAGTTAGTGCAGGAAAAGAGTCCTGCATGGCCACTTTCTAAACTTAAAATAATCTGTCTCCTGGATTTGGTACCAAACTGAAACAACCAAAAACTCCCCAGTTTCTTAAGCTTGGTGTCAGAGATAGGTGAGTCTGCAGCTGCGGAGAGAAATCAAGTAGGAAATTTTCCTCTAAAACTTCTCCTCTATAGCTCCCTGGTGTAATTTTAATCATATCCTCCTGTTAATAAAACACAGGTCGGGAAAGTGGAAAATGTATAAATATACAAATGAGCCACCTGTTAATTTGAAACACTGCTAGAAGGAAGAGACACCCACTCCAATTAGCACTAGACAAAAAGGGAGATTATTGGAGCATAACAGGGACAAAGTTTTGCCGTTTAATATGTACAGCCTCCCCCACTCCTGATTTCTAAGGAGGATTGGTGGGAGTATGTGTGGGTGCCTGCATGTGTTTGCTGCCTAGTTACTGAGCCTGCATTCCACTGATGGTTATAACTGATGGAGCTGCAGGTCTGCAGATGCCTCCTGGGGTAGAACACAGGCTGAGATGACACCAACTCCAAATCTAGAGCTATCTAACCAGTTTTGGAGTTTAACAATTTAATTGTTGATAGTCTCTAATAGATTTACTACCCACTGATGGTTATAACTGATGGAGCTGCAGGTCTGCAGATGCCTCCTGGGCTAGAACACAGGCTGAGATGACACCAACTCCAAATCTACATCCCAGAGCTATCTAACCAGTTTTGGAGTTTAACAATTTAATTGTTGATAGTCTCTAATAGATTTACTTAGGGTCGGGTGTCCACAGATCACCCACTCACCTACCATTCGAGGTATGATCCCATAGAATAATATGGCAGCCTAACAACCCCTTAAGGGAAGTTCATTAAGGAGGGCAGAGGTTAGGAGCTGGAAAGATTATTTTAGAAGACTGGGAAGGAAAGAAAAATGACTAATATCTATAGTGCAAATGTAATACCATCCAGAAATCATCAAGTTAACATTTCAGTATGTTCCCTCAGTTGATATGGTGCTTATAATATATTGTATAGTTGATATATTATATATGTAGCCCTGTTTCTTGGACTTTTCATTTAATAATTTACCACAAGCATGGTTTTCCTGTCTTTAAATTTTTTCCTCAGTACTTTGATGGTGGCATAATATTCAGTTCTGTAGATATTATTCTAACTTACAAACTACTGGATAGGCATGTGATTTCCATGTGTCTACCTTTTTATATGAAGCTGCAATAGACATCTTTTTACCTTAAACATCGTGCATATTTCTGATTATTTCATTAGAGATACAGTATCTGTGATGGTTGATTGATTGTGTCAACTTGGGTAAGAGAAGCTCAACCAAATTGGCTTAGCAATTCCACATCCTTGGGCATGGAAAACCCACCCTAGGGTAGCCTGTCATCTGGATGATATAAAAGGAAAGTGAAGGACAGATCTGTTTCTGTTTTCTTCAGAGGCCGAGTCTTCATCTTCACCTTGGACATCATTATCTGGCTCCCAGCACAGACCCTTCAGCCTCCTGAAAAAGACTTGCGTGGGACACTGCAGCGAGCTCCAGACTTTTGACTGGATCCTCCAGATCTCCAGTGTGCCATCAGACCCTCTGCACTGCTCCATATCCAATTCTGTGGGTGGCCATTGTATGCCAATCTTGTAAATTATTATATATATTTGTGTATCTGTTTCTCTAGTAAACATTGACTGATGCAGAATTTGGTACCAGAGAAGTGAGGTCATTGCTGTGACTGTACCTGACCATGTGGTTTAGGAGCCTTTGCAGCTGGCTTATGGAAAGGGGGAGAATTAGGAAAGTTTTGGAGATGCTGGCTGAACAAGTAGAATTGGAACACCCTAGGCTGTACTTAATGGGAGATTCTGATCAGAGCTCAGAAGACCAGAATGCTGATAAAAAGTTCTGGGTAAAGACTAGGCTCAGGAGGTTTCTGCTGGGAAGAAGGACTGCACTGGCTGTTGGACTCCATTAAGACGTGTGCTATGCTTTAGCAGAAAGTTTGTCTACATTTTGCTCTTGTCCAGAGACTTGCCTGAGACTAAGATTAGGGGCAGCAGACTAATTAATCTTTTTTTTTTCAGGCCAATTAATCTTGTAGAAGAAACTTCAAAGCAGTCCAATGTTGAGGAGGTGGTGTTGTCATCCACGAGCCCGCTCACGGAGCGAGGTTCAGGAGCTTGGACTGGAGGGTAAGGCGCCAAATCACCAGGCAGACTCCAGGGAGGTTTCTGGAACGCTTCCACTTTATTCAGGAAATGCACAGGCTTATATAGGGAACCATGGGAGAGGAGCATGGGAGGAACATTTAATGTTTGGTGATATCTTATTGGCCAGACATGGTAGAGTGATTTTTCTTGGGTGAGGCAAAGGAGTCATGGACTAGGGGTGGAGATGTAGCCTGTTGGACCTAGCATCTACACACTTAGGTGAATTAGCTCAGCCTTAGCAAGGTCTCTGAGTTAGCTCAGGAGACAGGAGTGCGGCGCACCTGGCCCAGCTAGGCTTGAATTTCTCCCACAAGGTGGCATGTCTACTGTTGAGGACTTTTAGCCAGATTTATATTGAGAATCAAGAGCAAAGAGCCCAGCAGAATAATTTAAAACAGTGTGAGTTTTGCCAGAAAGGGATCTCCAGCAAAGCTGCAGATTGCAAAGTGGAACAGAGAAGAAACTGGTCATTGAAAAGACTACCAAGAAAAAGCTAAGTATTTCAGAAGAAGACAACAGAAAAGATGGCCTTAGGGCATCACAAGAACCAACAGGACTTCAGCCTTTGCAGCCTCAGAGCTGCATAAGGGAAAGATTTTGCTTTGAGAAGAAAGCCCCAGAGTACCATGTTCCAGAATGGCAGCAGTCTAGAGAATTTATTCCTCAGAATTGAGTTTAGAGTGCTCAGCAATCCAGGCACTCCACCTCTACAGCCAAGAGAGAAGGAAGCCTGGCTACTGCTCCAACTGGTGACAGTCCTTGGTGTCATCCACATGTTGCTGGTTTTAGGCACATGCAGAATGCAAGAGTTGTGGGGTCAAGAAGGCTTCCACCCAGATTTCAGAGGAAGGCCCAGGAGGCCAGGCAGTGTGCCCCTGACAGGGCAGTGTATGAAGCTATGAGTCTGAAGCTAAAGGTACAGTGGAGATCTCAGAAGGTTGGAGAAGCCAGGAATGTGGACCATTTGAGGAAAACTGCAAGGAAGGAGCAGAGCCAGCCCAAGAGAGAAGCCATCAGAGCTACAACCACCAGCATGCTGTGCCATAGGGATAGAGCCATCCAAGCCTTTTGGAGTTCACAACTTGTCAAAGACTGCCAGTCATGTCAGACATGGAGCTACTGGACTTAAGGTTTGCCCTGCTGGATTTTGGACTTGCTTTGTTCCCATTCCTTTCCATTCCCCTCTTTGTGTGTTTTGTTTTGTTTTGTTTTTCAGTACTCGGATTGAACTCAGGAACTTGTGCTTGCAAGACAGGCACGGTACCACTGAGCTAAATCCCCAGCCTTCTTTGTACCTTTTGGAAAAATGTGCCATTGTGTCTTGAAAGTGTTTAACTTTCTTTTCATTTGTACAGAGGTTCACAGTTAAGAGTTTTTCTTAAATCTCAGAGGAGACTTTGGAGTTGGACTTTTCTGCAATGCTGAGTCTATTAGGACTTGGCAACTCTTAAAATGCTTTTGCATAAAGGAATGTAATGAATCTTTGGGAGGGGCAGAAGGAGAATGTTATGGTTTGTGTCTAGATGTTTCCCCAAACCCTCACAGTGTCATAGGGTGGGCTTTTTCAGAGGTGGCTGAATCTAGAGTATGTGATAGTGGGATTAAAGGTGTGTGATTACTAAATCAGTCCACTGATTGGTTTGGTTCCACCCTAATCCTTGTAGCGTAGGTAGAACATAAATGGGGCAAAAAGAAGCTGCTAAATTCCCTCTCATGCTTGCTTTGCTACCTTCTGCCTTCCATGAATGGTTTCTCTTCTTCAGTGCCTGTCAGCCACACCACCCTACCTTGGAGCCAGTCAACTATGGACTGAAAACTGCAAACTGAGCTAAATAAACCTTTCTCCCTTTGACTTTGAGTGTTGGGTATTTTGTCTCATCAATGAGAGAAAACTAAGTATCTATAAATGGTATTTACTTGATAGGTCTTATAAATATTTATTTATTGCCATTTTTGTTCAGAAAATGTATAAAGTATATGCCCATCAACACTGATTAAGGGTGGTCATTTTGGCACCAACCCTGACCCATTTAGAAAAGCAAAGCAAAGGATGAAACTGGACATTGCTATTGAATGCAGTTTTTGCCAATCTGATTCCTCAGGTTGACAAAATGGAAAGCAAAATTCCCAACATATTGGGAATAAAGCAAACTTCTCTCAGCATATTCTCCAGGCCACCAACATCAGCCTTACTGGGAACTTATTAGAAATGGAAATTTGGGAGGGGGTTTCTTCAGCTGCCTGCCTGCCTGCCTGCCTGTGATCACCTGGCGGCGTGTGCGCGAGCTCCCGGCCTGCGTGACAACAGACCCAGGAAGGCCCCAAAGACCCCGGAGGGGGTTTCTTCAGCTGCCTGCCTGCCTGCCTGCCTGCGATCACCCGGCGGCATGCACGCGAGCTCCCGGCCTGCGTGACAACAGACCCAGGAAGGAAGGTAGCCGCCACACGACACCCCCCCCGTTCTCAAAACTCCTGATTGGGCCAGTCCTTAGACCAACTCTGCAGAGGCATAGGTTCCCATGAAGGGTAGTTTTCTGAGCTCCGAACTTTGAACATCTTTAAAGAAAGGGCAGGGGAAACCTGTAATAGAACGGAGTGGAGTTCAACCCTGAGGGTAAGGAAACTAAAGTTAGGCCTTGTAGATTGTGTTCAGTCTCAGTCGTGAGGAACAGCCATTGGCTAGCTAAGACCAGGGGATTGGGTTCCGCATATGACTGTGCATGTGGTATAATATGAGATCAGAGATAGCCTGAAAGAGGACCTTCAAATTCTTTTTCTTTCCCTCTCTTTTCTCTTTTTTCCTCATTCCACCCTAAAATTTCTTTCTTTTTTCTGTCCTCTCTCTCCAACTCAGTCTCTTGCTCCACCATAGTGTCCCTCATCTCCCTTTTTATTCCAGCTCCTGAATAAATCAGAGATCTTCTC